TTTGAAGCAATTGTAAATGGGATTGATTTCCTGATTTCTTCTTCTGATAGTTTATTATTGGTGTATACAAATGCAACTGGTTTCTGAATGTTAATTTTGTATCCTGCTATCCTACTAAATTCATTTATCAGTTCTAACAGTTTTTTAGTGGAGTCTTTGGGATTCTCTCTATATAGTATCATATCATCTGCATATAATGACAATTTTACTTCCTCTTTTCCAATTTGGATGCCTTTTATTTCATTTTCTTGTCTGATTGCTATAGCCAGAACTTCCAGAACTATGTTGAATAGAAGTGGTGAAAGTGGGCAGCCTTGTCTTATTCCTGATTTTAAGGGGAAAGCTTTTAGTCTTTCCCCATTGAGTACAATGTTTGCTGTGGGCTTGTCATATATGGCCTTTATTATGTTTAGTACACGTATACTTTTAAAAACTAGTTACCACCTTCAGAAAAAGAAAGAAAAAGAAATTCCCAAAACATGACAGAATCACAATGACACAGAACTTATAATCAAATTAAAGCAGTAACAATATGGAGCCAAATATAAATAAGACTTGTAAAAACGCTTATGGACAATTATAAAGGAAAATTTGGCACAATTATGACATTATATAACCCAAAAATTTAAAGTTTGACTATGTTTTGGAAAAATACAAGCACGACTTCTATAGTGAATTTTATTGAAAAGCAAAGGAGCTATGGAATTGCTTGTCTGATTTTGCCTCTTCTGTCCACCTCCATCCTGCAGGTTAGGTAAGTTCTCCACACTGTCTGACTAACATGTCTGACTAAGCGGACATGTTAACAAATGATGAGGGATGGCAGTTAGAGAGTTCATGACTTGTGCTCCCACTCCCATCTCCACTTCTTTCTGCTAGCGTAGCAGCTAGTGGACAGTCTTATGCCTCCGTTGGAAGGGTTAACACTTGAAAATTGATGTTCACATTTGGGAGTCTGCCCTTCCCACAGACAGAAAATGAACAATTTATGTAACCATAACAGTGGAAATGCCAATGCATTTTAACTTAGAGCTGTTTAAACTTAAGAACGCTTGGAATGCAAGTGTAAGCAGAATCCTAATTTATGAGTTTGTATATTATTCCTCCCTGCTCTAAGGACGTTTACCCTTACTTTGACTTTATCCATGGCATGGACATAATGCCCTCTTTGACGGGGCCTCTGGGTTGAGCAGCAGTGTACCTTCACCCAGGGGATGGTGAATGGAGTTCGAGCTCCAGAGAAGAGTAGGCAGTGGAGGGTCCAGGAAAACAAGGACTGAGGGAGGAGGTGTGGGGGAGCTGATAGGGATGTGTCCTGGAAAGGCTGCAGACACCTCAAGTAGCCATTTCTTCATGTTAACACTGGAGCCATTTATTAAGATGGTAAGAGGATAAGAAGTGCATGTATATTGGCCGTAAAAATTGACACCTTCCAACCTCCCCAAGCAGCTGCCCTCAAAGTATGGGACAGATCTCCCCTCTCCTTGCCTTTCCCTCTACTGTTAGAGCCCCTTGCCCCCTTCCTTGGTTCATGCCTCCTTTTGGCCTAGGAGATGGAAGGCAGTCCTTCAAGTGTTGTTTGGGAGAAGTTGTCCTAAGAGCCAGCTCCAGCTGTCCTCGCCTTCTGCTCATTTCACAGACCTCCAAGTAGAACGGTGGCTGGTCTTGCTGCCCATGACCTGTTGGAAGGTGAGGGCACAGCAGGCTGAAAACCAGAGTGTTCCAAACTATGAATGTGCCCAGACAGGGCGCCTCTACCTGGGGTACCTGACCTCTGAAGAGAAGAGATACACACACACAGAAATCTACAGGGGCACTCTTGTCATCATTGCAATGACAGCCAGGTTTGAAGGAGAGATTTTAAATAAAAGAAAAGCATCCTTTTTAGCAACCAACCTCATCCCCCTGCACCATATGCCTGCAACTCGGGATTGCAGATAAAGGACCAAGTCATGGCATTACACGTTCCCTTCATTATCAAACATACACAGCTGGCGTATGCTTAAGCACACATGGATTTGCTTTTTCTGTTTTTTAAATGTCAATTCTTTCACTTGAGTAGTAGAGGTCAATTTGAAATTTAAATGTTTCAGGGTCAGTTGCTCAGAAACTCCACCCTTGGAGGTAGCATCTTGAAATACAAATTATTCTGGCAATCTGATCCAGATAGAGGGTCAACTTTTAAAAATATTTGAAAAGAAATACAATTCTCAATATTGCGTGTGTGAAATGTTCCCAAACAGCTGCTTACAAAATGCTCTCACATTGTTTTGTGTGCTATTCTCTAAATGTACACTTGATTGAAAGAACAAAAACACGATCTATTAGAGTAGTTTTTATTAGATGCATATTTTCTTTGAAGCAATTTATAACTTTCTATATACATAGGAATGTCATATATATGCACACAAAGATATCAGGATGTCTTTGAATTGACCCAGAGGCTAGGGTCATATGCTACTTACACATTTTCATCAGCCTTAAGAGCCAAAGAACAGGCACTCTAGTCACTTCACATGACAGCCCCAACCCTCAAGTTTCAGGTTTCAGAGTTTGAGAACAGTAGCACCTCTTATTATTCTGACACCTTAACCTTCCGAGTGATTCTCACTCCTTCTTGTTTCTTCACCTAATCTTTGCCACCATGGTCTCAGCTACCTCTAAATTCAAAACAGCCTCAGACATGTACAAAACAAGAAAAGTAGCAACTAAAAAAAAAGTCATAGTCCTCCCTTTGAAATGAATAACTCCCTCAGTGTTTGGGTTCCGTTTGTCTGGAAGAGGCTTCTGGAAGGAGTATCTAAAGGCCCCCACACTCAGCCTGAAACAGGGAGGTTGGTCCATTGTACTTTTTGTGGGTTATAAAGTTGGGGGTAGCCTGTTTCCAAATGAATATGTTCCTTCTCCCTTTTGCCTACTGATAGTTAAATCCGGAAGATAATACTCAAACAGTGGTGTGCCCCAGGCCGGCAGAAAGTTAGTCACTTGGGCTTCCTTCACATATTGGTTCAGTGCTTATGAAGCCCTGGATTTCTATTAACTATGTCATCAGTGCGCGCCTCGGTCTCATATCTGACCTGGAAGTGTTCCTGGACCTCAGGCTCACGCATTCACAAATCTGATGCCTCTTGATGGAGCTGGGACGGGGTGGGTGTTGTGAGGGCAGGCGCATGAACGACTGACCGTCAGCCCAGGATGTGTGTAAGCTCACAAAACCAACCCTTCCTCTCTCACCTACCCCTCCTGTTTCTCACCTAAACGTCTTCCTTTTTCCACACGTCTCCAACCTGCACTTTTGCAGCCTAGGTTCTCTGACTCCCCTGTGCCTATCACCTCCCACGTAAATCCTCCCCCAGTTCTGCTGACTCTCATCCTAAATGCTGCGAATCTGCACCCCTCCTTCCCATCCCCTGTGCCTCAACCCAAGTGGAGGCCTCCTCACCCTGACCTTGTTGCTGGTCTCTTTGCCCTAAATGCTCACCTTTCTGGGTCACCCTGTGGGTATGGAATGAGCCTTCTGCAACACTGGCCAGCGTCCCTGTTCTGCTTTCAGACTTGGACGAGCAGTGCTGTCCAGGTTCCTCATAACCCAGCCTTGTCCTTCCTCCCAGGGCCCTCCCCAACCAGTCACACGTCTTTGCCCAGGCGGCACCTGCAGCCTGGAGCTCAGGTTCCCTTTCCTCCACCAACAGCCCACCCCTTCAAATCCCTTCCCTGGGAGACGCTGTCCCAGCTCTCATCAAGCCAATGGCTCTCACCTGGTCCTGAACGCCTGTGGAACTTATTAAGCCACCTTAGAAGGACATTACACAAGGAAGATGTCCTTTCTTAACAGATCACTTCATGCCTCTTCCCCATGGCAAGACAATCACCTGTTTTAAACACATTTACAACCTGTACGTTGCCATGTGTAGTAAGCAACCATACAATATTTTCCTTGATTCACTTTGTTATTCCTGGTCAGGTAGCCAAACTCAAGAATCAGCATTTCTCTGGGGATTTTTTTTTTTTAAATAATGAGCTTTTGCAGTGAAGGGAGAGTTCATCAAGAAGTTGGTGTATGTGGAGGGCAGATGACAAGGTTGCTATTTCACCCTCATGTTTTGATTCAGAGTTCTAGAATTGATGGGCTTGAACTGTCTCCTATACTTACAGCAGTTGCCACATGGATGGATCTTAGACCCTCGATGACAGTAACTTCCTTCTCAAAAGAACTGCTCCCCTGCTCAGTCAGTGTATAAAAACCGAGTCCAGATCACAAGCCAACAGAGATTTCCTGCTCTCCAGTGGATCGAGTATAAACAGAGCCTCCACGCTCGGGAGCTTCTTGCTGGAAGATTGGACAGCGTTTGCAGAGGCGTCTGACAATGTGCTTTCGGAAGAACTCTGACAGGTAGCTTCTGAACTTCTCCCCGACGAAGGCGTAGATGATGGGGTTGATACAGCAGTGCGTCATCCCGAGGGTCTCCGTCACCTGCATGGCTTGGTCCAGCCTGTTAGAGCTACTGCAATTATTCAGGCCAAAGGAGACCTGGAAGGTGTTCAGGAGAAGGACGATGTTGTAGGGAGCCCAGAAAAGAAAGTAAACGATCATGATGGTGAAGATGAGCCTCACGGCCTTGTGCCTCTTCTTCTCGTTTCGACAGCGAAGCAAAGTCTTCAGGATTCCTGAGTAGCAGATGACCATGACAAGCAGTGGCAGGACCAGGCCCAAGATGACCATCTTTAACGTCTGGAAACTCCTCCAGAAATAATACTGATTGGATGGGTAATGAGGGCTGCATGTAATACGAGAACCCTCTTTTTGGGATTTGGTGAAGATGATTCCCGGGAGAGAGGCGAACACAGCCACCACCCAGATAACCCCACTTGTCACCCCCCCAAAGGCGACTGTCCTTGCCTTTAAAGCAAACACAGCGTGGACGATAGCCAGGTACCTATCGATTGTCAAGAGGATGATGAAGAAAATTCCGCCAAAATAACCGATGTGATACATCCCTGTGAACAACTTACATATCGCGTTTCCAAAGACCCACTCATTTGCCGCATAGTAAGCCCAGAATGGGATGGTGATGAGGAACAGCAGGTCGGAGATGGCCAGGTTGAGCAGGTAGATGTCCGTCATACTCTTCAGCTTCTTACAGTTTATCAGGATGAGGACGACCAGCATGTTGCCCACAAAACCGAAGATGAACACCAGCGAGTAGAGCGGGGGCAGGAGCCTGGCTGCGATTTGCTTCACGTTGATTTTTTGGCAGGGCTCTGATACGCCATAATCAATGTCATAGGCCGGAGTTGACACTGGGTAATCCATCTTGCTCAACCCTGTGACTAAAGAAACAGTCATCTTTTCATAACGTCTCAGAATGTACTTATTGGTCTGCCATGAATGCAAACTGTCTTATTTGTGAAGAGGTTCTTAAAATCGACACATAGATTTCTACATTTAACTGATGTCCCCTTTTTGGCTAAACAATAAACTTTTGTAATAAAGGGAAGGTTTGCTGCTAGCTTCCCTGCTCACTTGCTCTGTTGGGGAAATTCATGAAAGCACCAGCCCACCAAATAAAATCTGGTGTTCCATAGGCACGTGGAGTCAATGAAGCTTTGATAATGATGTCAGGAAGCTGAGTCAGGGTGCCATCCACCCAACACTGTCTTACAATCTGTGCTGAAGCTGCCCTTCCCTGGAGTGAGCTTATACGAGCATCACCACAAGTGTGCTATGATGACAAACAGTTCCCAAGGGCACACTGCATGCCAAACACTGTTCTAAGCTTCATGTCCACTTATTCAACTAATTCTCAAGGTGACCCAATGAGGCAGGTCATGTTGTTGTCCTCATTTTGCAGATAAGGACCTCAAAGCCCAGAGAGGGTGACTAACTTACTCAAAGACACACAGCTAGGAAGCAACTAGTTTTGAACACAGGCATCCTGCATTCTTATCCACCATGCCACCTTGCTCCTCACTCCTTGGTGACAGAAGGAAAGAGCAGGACCATCAACCTGGTTTCTCAATGTAGTCAGAATGAAATGGGCTGATGTCCAGGTCCCCCGAGAAAGCCATAGGAGCTAACAGCCAATTGTAAAATCCAAACTGCCATTCTCACATTTCCTCTGAAGCTTGAGTTTATAGTTCCTGAGTTGTTATAATTAAGAGATCCCCACATACAGAGAAATGGCCAAGTGGACAATGTGCCATCTACCACCATTCTTTCTTGCCCAGTCTATTTAAGTCCTGCTTTTGGACTGATTAATCCTTGTGAGCCTCAAGCTCAGATTAGGCAGCTGGGAGAAGCACCCAGAAAATTTCCCCTTTAAATTCTGATCCAGAAAAAGAATTATACACTAAAAATGGTGTGGAACTGATATATTAAAGAAAGACTTCATTTGGTATTATAATTTGATATCAATTTAGGCAATTTTTAGGCTTCTTCTTTGCTGGTAAAAAAAAATCCAAAAGAACCAGACTTAGACACAACTTCTGGTTGGGCACCTGTTCAGAGGGCATAGTGCCAGGAGGTCCTAGTTCTCCTTACCAGAAGATAATCTCTACCAAGATTTTGGCCAAGAATTATCTCTCTGAAAATCTTTCTTTTGAAAAGTGAGTTGTTCTTTTTAAAATAATATTGTCCCCTTTAAAATCTTTCATTCATAATCATGTTTTGTATCTTTGATGTTATCACAGTCTGAAACTCATTCTAAATTCTAACTTTTTCCTTATCTTCAAGATTATATTTTAAGATAGTTTTATGAGCACCTGGTATTTGTCTAATGTCTTCTCTGGGTTTCCTGTGAAGGCTTGTACTCATTACAGAAGCTGAGCTAATTAACAGCCAAAGTGGTTGAAACTTACCGGGTGAGTTTCTTGTAGTGGGGACGGATGTCTCAGATCCTCTGACCAGCTGAGCTGTGCAAATCAAGCATATAGACAGCAAAAAAGTAGGAAATGCATAGACATGCACAGGGGGGTGGAGTTTTAATGACGGGCAAAAAAAAAAATCAGAGATCAGTTCTTCTTTTTCTTCTTCTTCTTCTTTTTTTTAAATTGAGCTTAAAATAGGCTCAGGTCTGAAAGTGTATTCATGGGCTTCCCTGGTTACCCTGTTTCCTTTGGGTTCTCGGCTCATCCAACTACACAGAGCCTGTTAAGAAACAGAAAGAATTGAAGGATATTAGAATTAGGAGAACATTCACACGCATCTAGTCAAAAGCCTTCATTTTACTGAAAGAAACTGGTGGCCAAGAAACAAATGGTTTGTGCAGGGCCCACCAGTGGGGAGGTTAAAAGGGCGAGAGAGTCTGATTCTCTTACTATTTGTCCTCAATGAAAGTCAACTCAAACCAGCTTGAAGTTGACAGGCAAGTCCTTCATATTAGCTCTGTGTCCCCCCTCTACTCATCTTCTGCCCACCCCCCTTGCCTACCACAACTCCACACATTCACTCATCACCCAGTACGGTTTTTCTCTAGAAACTAAAACAAGTGGTTCTCTAAAGCGTTTCAACTATAGGCTCACCGGAGAGCTAAACAGGTTGCCTACCTTTCTCTGGATTGGGTCTCTAAGGGCGCATGTCATTACGAATTTTCACTCCACCTATTCACTATTTTGCAGCCCTCCAAAGCAGCAGACAAATGTTCAAGTGCATCCTGTATGTGCAATTCAGGAACCGTTGGTGGGTGCCTGTACTGTGCCAGATAAATAGACGGCAGAGTTCCTTACTCCAAGAACACAGCCTATCTGGAGCTTTGAGAAATTGTCAACATGGAATGGGCAACAAATGCCAGAAGAATGGGGTCAAGTTCAGGATTCTATGACAATGCTACAGTCAACTGGAGCTTTCTTGGTGGTTGGTTCCTTACCTAAAAACCTCAACTGCTGACAACAGAGCTAACAGAGCTGAGAACTTGCGCCACAAGAGTGCCCTCTAGGGGTTTTCATTTCCTCCGCTCTAGACTAAGAAGCATCGACGTGTAATCTAAGGGAAAGGAGACCCCAAACCTGTGGAGGCAGCCTAACACAGGAGCTAAGCGAGTGTCCTCTGCAGTCCGATTGCCTGAGCTTGAAGCCTGGCCTTACCATTAGCTTTCTCATCTGTGTAATAGGCTGAATAATAATAGTTGCTTCATGGGTTTGTTGGGAAGATTACATGAGGCATCTACATCCAGAATTTAGCACATTTTTAAAAAATAATATACCCTCAATGAAGATCAAACTCTTAGTTGCTCATTTACTGATCCTATCTTAGAGAGATTTGCTTAATAAAATTCTAACAAAATTGGTTTCCTGGGGTCCTCGTCTAGAGCAGATGAGTATCAGCAAACTAGAAGCTGAAAGGGTAATGCTAATGGCTGCTGCTTAGAGAACAGGAGATGATGACTACCGGGGAGGCCAGCAAAGCTCAGAAATAACCCAGCAATCAAGAACCACCCCATGTAGGGACATATGTTTATGTTACAACAGAGTCCAATAACCGGTAATCCTAACCAGGACAGCGAACTACGAAGAAAATGTTCAAGTTCATCCTGTATGTTCAATTCAGGAGGCACTGATTAAGAACTGGACTCTGCAGTCATGTAGCTGGATTTAAACCCCAGCTTCGCTATTTATTGTACTATTTGATGTGAACAAGTTGCTGAAACTCTTCAGGCCTTAGTTTTCTTATCTGTGAAATGGGGGCAAAAAACCAAAACCAGAAACCTACCTGATAGGCCTGTGGCCAAGATCAAATAATATACAGACCCACAGATATAGAGAAGAAGCTAATGGCTGCCAAAGGAGGGGATGGGAATTTTTTTAAAAAGGGGTTAGAGGAGGGAAAAATTCTACGAGGCCTGTAGTTTTTCATAAAAAAAATGGGTAACAAATAAATTAATAGAATAAATTAATAAATTTATACAATATGTTAATAAAATAGGTAACATGCAGTTTTGCTTCTTGGAAGAGCAGCCTTGTGTTTGCTGGTAATACACTGTGTGGAACTCTGAGATGCTGCTCGATCAACATTACCTTTCTGTGTGAGACAATGGTCGGTTCTGACTTCCCCACGCAGAGCTGGGGCTTTGCCCTGTGTTCTGTGTCAGCCATGGATGGGAGGGTGCGGAGCGCGGGATGACATGCTCACCCCCAGAGGGCAGTGTGGAGCAGTGGACGAGGCGCAGAGTCACTCAGATCGTGCTGCTGCCTGGTTGTGTGTTCTTGGCAAGATACCTTTCCTCTCTGAGCTTCCACTTCCTCCTCTGTCAAGTGCCAGGCCTGGGGGTCCCAAAGGCTGCTCCCCACTTATACTAAATGACTCCATGGCCACGTTGGTTTTGAGAATACATATTGGATCCACAGGCTAAAATATTAATTAATAAGAAAGCACAGCCTAGCAGGGTGCGTCACCCCCTCTCAGGTTTCTGGGTCCGGAAGTGAGTTCAGGTCACCTGTTGGGATAGGGATTTGTTCCAAGGATGAACAGGAAGTGAGGACACCTGGGAACTTCTTTAGCATTTCATCAATGAATCAGTGTTCTGGGTACAAAAATAATGACAACAAACTAGAAGTTTATAATGTTGTGACTTAGTTTCCTGGTCTCTGTTTTTCTTTTTACTTTGTCCCTCCCAATCTGCGGTGCTCTCATTCTCATATATATGGCATTCAGACATCCCACCAGAAATGATCTTTGGGCTGGTTTATCACTCTAGACTTGACACTCGTATTGGAGGGTGTCTCGTGCCAGCCCTCCTTTTGGGGCACTGGCCAGCCCTTAACCAGCTGCTTCTTATCTAGTCATTGAACTCAAGTTCCAAGGGCTGCTTTACCCTCCTTGCCCATGCCGTCTCTGGACCACATACTCAGAGCATCAGCAGCAGGATGGGGAGAACATCCAGTCCTCTCCTTGGGCTCAAAGGGCGAACTGCATGAGCACAGGGAGCTGAAACCCTGCCACACAGCAGCTCACATGAACATACCTGGGGCTCAAGTGGACTCTAGGTCAATGGCAGTCAACAGTGAGACAGCCTGTAAAAATAGCAAATGCATCTTTTAGTTTTTAAAACAAATGTCTAATTATAAAACCAACACATGCTCATTGTATGAAGTTAGGGAAAACAGAAAAATAAGAGTAGGAAAAAACTAGGCATAGTCTCACAACCTCAAAACATCCCTCTTAACATATGATGTGTTTCAATTCAGACCTTTTCTTATGCATACTTTTTGATTAACTGTTCTCACTCATATACCAGTTCTGTGTGCTGCTTTTTTTTTCACTAAAGCTTACATCGCAGGCATTTCCTCATGTTATTCTTTGTAAATATAGTTCTTTAACTGTCATTTTTATTGAGGTGTAACTTACATGTGGTGAAACACACTAATCCTAGGTGTACAGCTTGGTGCAGTTTTGATATGTGTGCACCATGTAACCACCACTCAGATCGAGATGATAGGGAATATCTCCATCACCCCACCCCGGAAGGTGCTCCTGTGCTCTGCCCAAAGGCAAAGGCCATTCTGACTCCCATCATCATGGATTAGGTGTGCCTGGTCTTCAATTTCATCTAAGTGGAATCACAGACTCTGGCCTCCTTCATGTCTGCCTTTTGTTTCACAGAATGTCAAGACTATGCTCGACAGAGCCTATTATTAGATAGTTGGGCTCTTTCCATTGTTTACGAATATGGACAGCATGTTTTGAAAGTTGCTGTCAGTGTTTTGATATCCCCACTAAGGAAAAAGCTCCCAGTGTCTCCAAAGCCACCTTCTCCAGGAGAGCCAGAGAGCCCTTATGGTCATCGAAGAAATAGGAAGAATCCCCCTGTCATCTGATCAGTGCCACACTTTGTCACCTGTGTGCCTCACCAATGATGCTGGGGTCCTATGACTCCCAGCATACTTCACCTTTTGTCTCAGACATTCATCATGGCCAGTGGGGTTGGGAGGTCATCCTGCTGGCTGTCCGTTCCTGCTGGCTGTGTCCTCTAGACCCTTTTCAGGATAACTCCTTTCCCAGCCCATGCACCATGCCCCCCATGCCCTGTGAAAATCCTCAAACCAAAGAGATACTTGCAGGCTGTCCACCTCATCACTTTGTTAGATGTCCAGACATGGTGGAAACCCCTTAACTCCACTGGGAAGTCTGCTCTCTGCATGTTGGATATTTCTTTCAGATCAGTGTCCAGACATGGGGCCAATGCCATCTTAAGTGCGGTAACAGAGGTCTAATGTACCAATTAAGGCGTGTAACAGGCACACTGTGATCTTCAGTGGGTCAGGCCACACCTGCCGCTCTATATTCAACTGTGCATAACAGGATATTATGTGGGACTTTTCCTGTTGTCCCAGAGCTGGCAACTAATGAGACCTGAGGCTAAGAGCAAAGAGGTGTTAAGTACCCTACAGTGCTAAAGAAAACCACTAACACTGGGGTCACACACCTTCCCCAGAGCTAGAGTGTGTGAGTGGCAGGATCAGCCCTGTGCCCCCAGTCACTGTGTCAACTCCTCTCACCCCTGTAAGGAGACAAGTCGGGGCATGAAAGGGTTGTAGAAGTGGGTGGGATCATGGGGAGGAGGGTCAAGGCGCCAAGGGAGGGGGCTCTGAGAGGAATGGGGGCTTGCAAGAAGGGGAAGCCAGCACCTCATTCCCAGGTGGGGCATCCACTAGATGCAGACCAGCTGAGCAGGGGAAGAAAGGATTAAAGAGAGATGATAGTGGCAACAGGGCTTGACGGTGAGGCAGCAAGGATGTCTCAAGGATACGAGATGGCCCAAGGTCAAGTTCAACCATGGTGTTGAGTGGCAAAGTCTGAAGAGGTTTCCAACCTCAGTCACTCACCATACCCAGGGCTAGCCCTCCCCTAAATTAATGGTTGCCTTGCAGAGGTCAGCCCACCAGCAGACACCTCTTCTGTCATGATGAATTTCCCCCTTGGTGGCCCTTGGTGGCTTTTGCTGCTGGCTAATCTCACCTGAGGGGTTTCAACTTGTCAGGGAAATTTTAATAATGGGGAAAAGCAAAAGTGGAGAGGTGAGGTCTTGATGGCTTATTCCCAGGAGGCTGCAGGACCTCTCTGAAAAATGTTCAAATTTCTTCACCTACTTTACGCATCACAGACAAAGAGGACAGCATGGGGTGGGCTATGTCAAGTCCCCAACTCCACTAAAAGTCTTCACGATACCCGTCCCTAGGAATGATGATCTTTCCTGACATTGGCTTCACTCCAACAGCCCACTCAAATGTTCTCCCCGGAGGAAAGGAGACTTGAGGTGTTCACTTTTAGGAATGGAGATGGTTCGCAATTTTTAAGTTGCAGTTTCTTTGGTGGAGATAAAATCTTACCATAGCTACCATTACTCTGATACAGGACTATCACTGAATTAGTCACTCTCTCCTCAGGCTCTCAAAAGAACTTTTTGTGTGTCTCTATTTCTGTGCTCTGCATTGTGCACTGTGATTTACAAACATTCTACTCTACCCCTCCTTCCATCAGCAAGGCCTGGACTTGGAGATCTAAGGGCATGGGCATATCCATCTTTATGTACCTGACCTGTCTGGCAACTGGTAGATAGATCCTCAGGTGTGTTCGTCATGATGAATTCCATGTGGGAAAAACACGGGTTCTTTGACAAATTTTATTTATGCAGTTCCTATGTACCATATATATTAAAAGCTTTAGTGCTTCTTAGCAAACAATCCCCACAACTCGGGGGCTGAAAACAGACCCTTTGCTCCTGGGACATGTGGCTGGTCCCTGGCTCTGCTCTCTGCATCTCCTCGTTTGCTCACCAGGATGCCTGGGCTGAAGGGGTGCGATGGGCCTTCCTGTGGCTGAGCAGGGACAGCCCTGGGCTCAGCCCGGCCACTTTGAATGCTCTGTGTGGATGAGGTGGGTGTCACTTCTGCTCACTTTCCATTGGCTGAACCACCTGTGGACAGGTTGGGGGTGCCCCACCGGTAGGGCACATTTAAGGTCACATGGCAAGGACAGGCATGTGTAATCACACAGGGGAAGGAGTGACAAGTCATGAACAATAAGAGCATCTATCACATCACAGTATAACCAAACAGGCAGGTTTTTTATTTATTTTATTTTTATTTTAATTTTTTTGTTGTGGTAAGAACACTTGACATGAGACCTACCCTCTTAACAGATTTTTAAGTGTGCAATACTGCGCTGTTATCTATAGGCACAATGTTGTCAAGTAGATATTTAGAACTTATTCATCTTGTACAAATGAAATGCTATGCACATCGATAAATGGATAAAGAAAATGTGATATATGCATAGAATGGAATACTGTTCAGCTTCAGAAAAGAAGAAAATCCTGTAATACGTGGCAACATGGATGAGTCTAGACGGCACTGTACTAAGTAAAATATGCCACTGACAGAAGGATAGGAAGTGCATGATTCTACTTACATGACATATTTAAAATAGTCAAACTCACAGAGGAAAAAGATAGAAGGGTGGTTGCCAGAGGTTGGGGGGAGGAGGAAATGGAGAGTTGCTATTCGGACAGTTTAAAAAAAAAGACATGCAATACAGTTAGAGCACTGATTCACTTTCCAAGTCATAATTTCTTAAAAACAATATTTACATTTCATCATTATCATCAAAATAAATTGAATGCATTCATTAGAATAATACGTATACCTGCAGGTGAAGCGTGTCCCCTTCCCCCACCACCTCCCCCCAACCCCCACCAACACACACACTTCTTTCTGAACCTTCTCTAGCGATGAAGCAAGAGAGTAAAATCATAGTGACTTCCAGCTCCCAAGCTACCAGGTTCAGGAGCCCTGTGTTTCTTGTTTGCATCAGATCAGAAATGCACTGGGTAACGTGTATGTACATTCTTAACCTGCTCAACCAAGATGAAAGTCTTTGCTTACTTAGTGAACCAATTCCCCTCCTTTACAAATAGGGTTTAAAGGCTTTGATTAGAAGTCAGTTTGATTTAGGAGTTCCCACTGGCCAAATGGGACAATTTGAGCATCATTAAATACATCTGCAAAGTCCTGAAACATTCAAATATGATTAAACCCATGACTTCATGGACTTCACGGTGTAAAAAGAGATTTTTGGCAGCAAGTCTGAGACAATAAAGACACAGTTGAGATGACAGTTGTGGAGTGTGTGCTGTGATCCAAGTGATATCATTTCGATGCCACATCGCTATAAACTAGCAAGCGCAGAGATCACAGGCCTCTAACTCCTGGATCAACAGCTATTTATGTTGAATCAGCAGTCTCCCAAAAATGCTCTAAGATTTTAAGATTGAAACCAGATTTGTCTCTATGAGTAATACCATATTGTCAGGCTTGGCATAATAGTAGCTCTTAAAATGATACTTTGGCACATGCACAAATTGTAGTTTTCAGCTTTAACTTTATTTTTATTAAAAAAAAATATCTGAACTCATTTATGTATCCAAAAGTGTGGTGGTCCTGGAAGGCAGTTTGGAAGACGTTTTTATCCAACCCACCTAGAGTCTTCTTCATCTACGCCTGCCCTGCCTGGTAATTTGGACACATAGATACACAGGCTGGTGTATGATTCCAGGGCAGGGTCTCTGTCCTGTGCCCAGGCCCCTTCTCTGCCCTGAGGACATACTCCAGTGTGTCCACCAAGGGGTTCTTGCTGCAGTTTCCTTCACATTCTCCCCAAGTCTACTCTCCTGGATCTCCACAACTAGATTTTGCAGTAGGTTAATCCTATAGGCAAGAGTTATGTGATAAAGGCTTTGGGAAAATAGACGAGGCAGGGCAGCAGGAAGGCCGGGAAAGATCACAAGGAAACAACTTAGTCAGATCCGATACATGAGGCCTTTAGGGGTTCCGAGACATCCTTCCTGTCCTCTCCCTTAGCTGTTTCTAGAAACATTCCAGGGGTGATCTCACTCTTGCTATGGCCCTGCAAACCTATGGGGGAACTCAATGGTCCCCATCCTTTCTCCTAATCACTACCTCCATGCCTCCCCTTTCCCTGGAAAGACCAAACGAAGGCTTTATTTTTTTCATCTCATTATAGATTTTGCATATTTTGTAAACAAAAATTTTTATAGGGGAAAGTGGCCTAAGAAGCCTAAGAACAATGAGGCAATCGATTTAATAGATTTCAAATGTAGGGTGTGTGGTTGGCATAGATAAATCATAATAAAGCAAAAATGTATCATGCACTTACACAGAAAAGGATCATGGGACCCAAGCAAAGCTGTCAGAAAGTAATTACAGTTCCCAAGCTTTCCAGGACCTGGGAGAGCCTTCAATGTCAAATACAGGTGTGAGAGATGGGACTAAGAGCCAGGGCTACTGCCTGGCTGAACGAGCAAACCCCTTATCTTCATCCGCATCCAGGCTCAGCCATGCTCACACCTCCCTCCTCCCTGGACGTGGCCCAACCCCACTCGACCTCACTTTGTTCACCCCTGTCTGTCTTGTTCTTCTCCCTGCCTCCAGCTGGGGGCTTGATGAAAGAGAGTGATCAAATCAGAGAGTGGGTGAAGAAATAGTGAAGACTGGGGAAAGAGCATATGCACAAGGCACTGTGGCATTTTCCAGGAACCAAGAGGAGCTTGCTAGAGAGTCAGTTTCTACCCACAATTGTTCTGGAGTATTCCTGGAGTACACATTGGCTGTACAAGGAGTGACATCCGTCTGTCTTGGTACGCGCAACCCTAAGGCTCCTGGGCACTTGCTTGAAAGATTCACAAGCCCCTCTTTTCAACAAACCCTTTGGGCTTATTATCATATATAGATTGCCATCTCCCCTAAAAAATATCAAGCAAACTGCTGTTCATTTACAAACCAGCCGAGACTTCCTGCTCCCCCGTGGAAGGGGTGTATGTTGAACTCACTCGGTCAGCTGTCTCCCGATAGAAAACAGGGCATTGTTTGCAGAGGTGTTTGGCGATGTGCCTTCGGAAAAACACGGAGAGATACCGTCTGAACTTCTCCCCGACGAAGGCGTAGATGATGGGGTTGATACAGCAGTGCGTCATCCCGAGGATCTCCGTCACCTGCATGGCTTGGTCCAGCTGACTGGCGCTCTTACAGTTACTCACATTGAAGAATTCCTGAAAGGTGTCCAGGAGAAGGACGATGTTGTAGGGAGTCCAGAAAAGAAAGTAAACGATCATAATCACGAAGATGAGCCTCACAGCCTTGTGTTTCTTCCTTTCGTTTCGACAGCGAAACAAGGTCTTCAGGATTCCTGAGTAGCAGATGACCATGACAAGCAGTGGCAGGACCAGGCCCAAGATGGTCCTCATCATTGTATGGAAATTCTTCCATCCGACTGGAAAATAAGGGCCGCAGAGGTAAACAAGCCCTTCTTCTTGGGATTTGGTGAAGATGGCTCCTGGGAGAGAGGCGAACACAGCCACCACCCAGGTGACCCCACTTGTCACCCCCCCAAAGGCAACTGTCCTTGCCTTTAAAGCAAACACAGCGTGGACGATAGCCAGGTACCTATCGATTGTCAAGAGGATGATGAAGAAAATTCCGCCAAAATAACCGATGTGATACATCCCTGTGAACAACTTACATGTCGCGTTTCCAAAGACCCACTCATTTGCCGCATAGTAAGCCCAGAATGGGATGGTGATGAGGAACAGCAGGTCGGAGATGGCCAGGTTGAGCAGGTAGATGTCCGTCATACTCTTCAGCTTCTTACAGTTTATCAGGATGAGGACGACCAGCATGTTGCCCACAAAACCGAAGATGAACACCAGCGAGTAGAGTGGGGGCAGGAGCCAGGCTGCAATTTTCTTCACGTCCTCTTTTTCACAGGGGACACTCTCCCCATAGTCATAAGTAGTGCTGGGGTCTTCATCGCTCCCCTGGAAAATTGTTGCAATCAGAGAATGAGATGTGGACAGCATGTTGTGGGTGAACTGGAGAAGTGTGTCATTGTCACCCATCTTCCTCTGTCCTGCAAACAGAGAACATGATGAGAATACACAACATAACTCCTACAATTACTAATCTTAAAAGCATCCTCCACTTAAGCAATAGCCCAGTCTTTATCTTTGCTTCCCAGACATCTGCTTGAAAGCACGTGTGCTAGTGTATCACTTCTCTTTATTTCTAGGAGCAGACGCCAGTCATCTCTCCATCTGCCAATACCCATTGCCTTCCCAGAGAGCCCCACTCTTAATATAAGGCTAACATGCTGGACACTTGCTTTCTCTCTCTCCTCTGGATGGGGCACATTCCTGGACGATAATCTAGAAAGAGACTCTACTAGAGGGCTCTGGAAATGCTCTACTCTGATAAGAGAGATGCAAGAGAAACTTCGACCTGACCTTTCTGCGTTGGTACCTTGTCTTGTAAGGGCATGGTACTTGGCACCATGCATGAAAGACCCAGAGAACTGGAGCAAAACTAAGCAGAGTTACGACATCAAATCCCAAGCTCACCCTTGAGCTGACCATCTTCTGACTTCTTGTTGTCTGAGAAAAAGAAATCCCTGTGTTTAAATCACTATTAAGTTGCACTTTTTTGTTATCTGTGTCCAAAACTGTTCTGATACCCTCAACTTTCTGTCTCCATCATCCTGCCTAAATGTCTCCTGCTGAGGTTGCAGTGACAACCCAAGTTTCATCCTTGTTGAGCCTTTGATCCTTCTGATAACTTCTTCCATTTCGAACTCTTTTGGCTTCCGGGAGGTTAGTTCCTGTCTCACCACTTCTTATGCATTTTGTTCTTTGGTGTCTCCTCCTGTGCCCACACTCTAAGGGTCCCCGGGCACCATCCTTGGCTCCTACCTCTTTATCTGTTTCTTCTTCATTCTCACTGCAGACTTCTCCCTGAATTATGCCATCTCATCTCAGGGTTATAATACTCTGAATGCTAGAGCTTCCCGAAGCTCTGTCTCCAGCCCCACCTTTCAACTCCTACACCTCAGAGTGGAATTTTCTGTTGCCTACTGCATATCTCCCCATGGATTTAGTCATTTAACCAATATTTATCAAGCACCTACTATGAGCCATACTCTGTTTTAGGCACTAGAGGTACAGAAGTGGTCAAAGTGGGTATTAAACAGGCACCTCACATTCAACCTACCCCAAACTGAACACCCCCAGAAATTTGCTTCAGCCTGTGGATTCCTTGTCTTCGCTATTGTCATTTACTCCATTACCTAAGGAGCAGGATTTGAGATTATCCTGGTCCTCTTTAGAAGATTATGAGCCAGGCCTTGGGAGCCAAACAGACCTAGATTTGAATCCTGCCTCTAATTTACAGGTTGTGTAATTTGGGGCTAATTACTTCTTCAACTATCAGCTTCTTGACGTTGAAATATTAACTCTGCTGAGTTGCCACGGAGGTGAATGGAGACACAAACTCAGAGCAGCACCTGGAGCAGAGGAATGCTCTGTATTGTCACTATGATGTCATATGACTTTGACCTACGATACAGCTCTGCAATTCATCCCCTCTGTGCCTCTTCCAACTGCCACTTCCTGGCCTCATGCACTTCTCACTTCTGGCTTTGCTGTGGTCTCTCATTTGCTCACGGCTCATTCCTAGCCATGCTCCCTTTCACTCTGCCTGCTTTAAAACTGAAATTGGATCATGCACTTGTCAGTTCCATGAGCCCCAATGACATGTATGTGGTGAGACTTCAAAAGGAATGCCACCTCCTAAGCTCACTTCTTAGCTTCATCTCTAATCATTTCTCAAATCCCAGATCCTGTGCTACAGCCATGGCCATCTTCTTTCCATTTCCCCTAAACTCACCATTTCCTCCATGCTTCAATGGGATTGTATATGCTTGCCCTCCACCGGAAATGGCTGGCGAGCTCCTATTCATCCCCCAACACCTCCTGCTCAAATTCCTCTTCTCTGTGAAGCCTAACTTGCATCCTCTATTGAATCACCTTATCATCTCCTAAGACTGTCCATGCTTCTAAATAAGCACTTATCACATTATCTTCTACACAGTGTGTTCTCTTTGAGGTCAAGGACAAGGTCATGTTTCTCTCTCTAGCTCTTATGACAGCACCGGGCTAATGGGGGCACCAATAAATGTTCATTGAAAGAATGCTTGAAACTCTTTATAATAAGGATGACACCTAACATCCTCAGGCTTGATTCTCAAGAATATTCTTTTTTTTTTTCTGGTAGTGACTGTGAATTCGTCTTTATCTATGTACACACTTTATCTTTTTATCTATTTACACCTTCTTGAACTTCTTTTGTGATTGATACATTTCACGGATCTTGCATTTCACATCATTGAGCCAGATTCTTGAGATCTGCAGCAACTAAGACCTCTGATCAAGCCGGAAAGAAAACAAGTGTATCCACCTAACGAATTACAACTATAGTCATTCAACTATAGTGCTCCTTAAGCTCCAGGTGCCATGCTAAATACTGTGTGTGCATCAATTAATTTAATCTTTGCAAAAAACTTGTGAGATAAATATTTATACATTTTACAAATGAAGAAATTCGGGCATGAATGGATTAAATGACTTTCCCAAACTCACAAAGCAAGTACTGGCTGAGCTGGAATTTGAGCCCTCAGTTCTTCAATTTCAAAGGTCCTCAGGGGTTCTCAGCTCCAGGTTCTGAGAGCAAAGCTGGGTACAGGAGAACAGGTAACAGATTTTCTAGGTAGTCTTCCATGCCTTTAACAAAACTTCTTTGTCACTTAGCCTTAAAATCCACTCTTACCCACACAAGAGTGCCCCCCCATGCATGCACAAATGCATGTGTGTGTACACACACACACACACACACACACACACACACACACACACACACACACACTTTCACCAGAACATAACCTCCACGAGGGCGGAGATCTTGGTCTTGCAATAAGGTATCATGGTGCCTCAGGACCCAACCCAGCACAGAGTGGCTACTAAATAAATGTTAGTTGAATAAGTGAATTATAGAGAACCAGCAGGCTGCAAGCTGCTGAGAAGCAAAATGCTCTACTGTGGACTAGACTCCAAGGTAATCCAGTGAGAGACCTTATAAAAACAAATATATTGGAGATCTACAGCCCCTTTATTGCAGCACGCTCTGGGGCTGTTCTGTAATTAATCAGGGCTTACTCTCCCCGTCTGTAGGGAAAGTGTGGACTGGAGAAGTGGTACTCAAATGCTCGGCTTCAGTATCACACAGGAAATCTGTCAGTTAAAAATATACAGTCCAGACTCTTGCTCCGATGATTCAAATTGGGGGGTGAGGGTGGGGTGCCCGGGGGGTGAATTGCCCCGAGTACTTCCACCGTGTGTTCTTGGCTCTTTGTTGTTTAGCTGCACTGGCCTCTCAAATGCCAGCCACCTCCTCTTTATCACCTATCTCGCTCCAGCACACTTAGCACCTACCACAGCAGGCACTTAGCAAGGTGGCCGAAATGCGCGTTGGTTTAGGCATCACTTTCAAGTGTCAGGATACATCGTCCAGAATCAATTAAAAGCTACCTCTCAGAAAAAGAAATTCCTCACTTCAGCCTCCCGGGACCTCCTGGATGGAGGCAAGAGGCATATTTTGGTTTACAGCCTGGACTACAAGAGGAGAAAATTCTGGGTAGAAAGTTCCAGCTCTTTAAAGTCTTTGGGAGGGATGGAGAGGAGCAGGAGTTGAAAAGCCTGATTGTCTCAACGTGTTTGATTCTTCCTTTTGAGCACATTCTCTGCTCTCACCTGAGTCCTGAGGGGTGGTCTCACCCTGCTCTGTGCTTCCTCACTGTCATCAGGGTCTCTCTAACATTTCTGGTGCAGACACCACCCTGTATCCCTTTCTCCCACCTTTCTCATTGCCAAGTTCCTGGACTGTGCAGACCCTCAGGGTGCTCCCAGTTCCTGCATGTCCAGAGTTGAGATGCTCTGAGCCCATGATTCATAAAGTAATGGAAAAAGAGCACCCACCACTCACCAGTGGATGGCTTCTTCCAAGTGGCACGGGTGTGTCAGGCTTCTCAGCAACGGAGCCCAGCAGATCTGGAGGTGGGAACTTGGTGTGCAGAAGTAGGAAATAAAGTTTCCTGCAGAAGGAGAAGGCGGGGATATAAGAGTAAGTAAGGGTAAATATTTGAAAAAAAAAGAAAGAAAGAAAGAAAGAAAAGACTGATACAGTTCTTCTTTCTTAGTCAGGAACGTTGTATATTACATTGAGGTCTCCAGAGTAGGACTAATTTTGAAATCTTGCTTATGCAACCTTGAGAGTGAGTTAGGCACACCCTGTACATCTGCTCCTATGTCTAGCGACTCTGGGCTTCTTTATCTTGTGGGTCTCTATATCTAGACATCTTCTACTCTCTTCTGCCAGTGATAATTTGCATGAAACATGCACAACAGAGCTTCATTTCCCAGAGGATAAATGCTAGTGTGGGCTGTTGGTGATGGTGGAGGAAATACAATGAGGTTTTACGTGACCATGTGTCCCGGTTTCAGTGGCATTGCAGATTTAAGATCAGGTTAGAAATTTCATTGTATAGAGCTTTTTAATGAAAGACAATGCTAAATGGTTTTTTTGTGTGTGTGTATGAGACATCCTTAGTAAGAAGGGCCTCGGTTATTGTAGGTCCCACTCCTCAGAAAAAAGTTTTGTTAAAAAAACAACAACATTGAGGTTCTGGGAAGATGGTGAAGTAGGAGGCATCAGGAACCTGTCTCCCCACCTATACAAAAATTGCACTGACAGAATCAGCCTGATTTAACTGTTTTGAAACTCTTGAGTCTAGTGCAGGCTTGTCTCTTTCAGGGGAAGTTACTTAGAGTAGACAAAATCACAGAGAAAAAAATTAGAGTGGTGGCAGCCAGGCGCTGGGATGAGGGGTTAATGAGGAGTTATAGTTTAATGGATATAAGGTTTCAGTTTTACAAGATGAAAAGAATTCCGGGGATGGATGGCGATAATGGTTGCACAACATTATGAATAAAATAAGATGGTAAATTTTATGTTACGTAAACATATATGTTATGTTTATTTTATCACAATTTTTTTAAAAAGGAAGAAAAAAAAAAGGAAATCACGATTAACAGCACAATTGCAATGTAGGCAGTACACTTGAGAGGAATATTCCTAAGGTCCCACAGGGAACATTGGGTCATCTGAGTTGGCCCCTGGTTCTTTCTGGAATTCAGTAGACTTGAGGGGCGGGATCTCATGCCGTGGCCTTGGCAAATTTCTAAGTTTTGATTTCCCCAACTATAAAATAGGAATAATAAGGCCTCTGGGGTCTGTGAGGTTTAAATGGATATAAATCAGCTAGTACAATGTCTATGTATTATGCAGTAGGTACTCAACAAATGGTAACCAATAACAACACAACATTCAGTGCCGTCTAGGTGTCCTTTCTAGATTTTAATAAGACAACCTATCCTGCATAAGACTTGGTTTTTGTGCTAAGCAAGAATGGCCTCAGATTTTTCCTTAGAAGACAGATCCTTGCCTGATCAGGAACAGGAAAACTTCCCCAACTGTCTCCTAGTGTGGTCTCTGGGCATGGACCGGAAGGGTCTTTCTGAGATTTTAATCACAAAACAGGTCATACTCACGCTGATGCCGCTGGGTCCTCTTCCACTTACGGAATCTCCTGATTCCAGGATCGTGTTGCTAGTTCCTTTGAGTTACTGTGGGATGGGGAAAGTCAAGGCCCAGGAATTCTGCTCTTGCTGATTAGGAGCACTTTGAAATTTTCTCTTCACACTAGACATCCTTGACTGTAGCCCTGCAGAAATAGGTAGTAGCAGAGCCAGCATTCAAAGTTTTGGCTTATTTCTATCACAGGGAACAGGTGGCACACTCAGCTAAGATACTGAGGAGATAATATAAGGATGAGAGTAGGTATAGGGTGTAGGCAGAATTAAGAGAACCCACAGGGGTGGTGAGGTGCCCAATGCCTTAGCACCGTGGGAGCTTTTAGCCTTATGCTTGAGGTTTACAGAATAAACAATATCACCTAAGCCCTGTTAAGAGCTGGAGTTGAGAGTTGAAGGTCAAAGGATACAGTGACTGCTAGAACATTGGCAATACGGGAGGAGAGCGGGAGCAGAAAAGTACCCTAACCTCCTGCTCCAACTCTGACCTGACAGTGCCTCAAAGTGACTGAACCCAACAGGCAGAGGGAGCAGTGGGGAGTCTAGGTAACCCACAGACGTCTGCTCCCTGGGGCTCAGAGTGCATCTGGGGGAGAATGGCAAATAACCACACAACTATCAAGTCAAACTGTTTTTTCTTGTCACTATGTTCTCACCTGGTCCATGTCAGAAAATTGGGAACCTGCGTAAATCCGCCTTAGAATTCTTTATGCACATGAAGAGAGTTAGGTAAGATGCTTTTCCTTGAGTTTGAGATCCCCATATCTACCTGCAGCACTGGGTTTATGGTTTCTGAAATTCTCAATCTTAAAGAGGAGTGTAGCCCTTTGAGCAGACTTGGGGCAAAGCAAGTCATCAACCTCTTATCTCTGGTGTGCTTACTGACCAAGCAGGATCACATAGAACACTTGGCTGTGATCAACTCAAGGGTGACCTGGAACAGGGATGAGGAGACACTCAATTTCTCCGTAAACCAATGAAATAAAAATATTTCATGCTTCCTGAATGAAAAGGGAAGAACCAGACTGACACTGACCATGAGAAACGTAAGATTCTTGTTTATTTGTGCACTGAGGGTCAGCAGCTGAGTTGGGGGGTTAGACCATTGAAGCTGAAAGTTAGGTTTGTTGTAAGAAACTCTCTGCCCCTCAATGGTTGGCAACACTCAACCAAATTAAAACACGGGGAAAAGCATGGCTGGAGAAAATTGCTGCCCAGGCAAGAAGACAGACAAGGTTTAACAACAGCCTTAGGGTACTCTGATGATGTTGCTTGTAACTTCTTTACTTATCTGTCATGGATTCGTTCAGTTAACACCTTTAGAAGATACATTCTTGCTTTTTTCAACATAGCTGCTCTTGGCTGATTGTGGTTTCTATGATTTGCATGTTTCCTGTGACCTACTAAAATAGATTTGTGAGTTCTAGGATTTTATCTCTTCAGTTCTGGTTAAAAACAATGATCTGGAATAATATCATACCTATAGAAAAAGCAGTTATGTATTCCTACCTGTCCTGGTCATATTTTCATAATGAAAATACTATGAATGACAAGTATTTCCACTGTTTTTTGTTACATGTGACAAAGTAACACAACAGGGCATATAGTCACAGCAACAAAGCCCAGAAACTGCAAATGATTTTTGAAAAAGAAAGGTCAAGTAACAGAGGTCAGGCAGGAATGTCTCCCTCAGCTTCCAAGTTCATCACCATCTCCAAGTGAGCCAAGAACAGAAAAGAAGATGGGGTGAAAAATAAAAATAAAATGTGATCAACAACAGTAGTTTATATCTTTATTAACTTAAGAGCACAGAGGCAGCAGATTGGATGTTTTCATACCTTCAGGCTAAATTAACTTTGAGGAAATAGAGGTAAAGTCAGGATCCTCAATACATTCGCTTGCTGAAAAGCCCTCTCAAGTGACTTAAGGGAATGCCATTTGAACCATGTAGCGGGGAGATAATCTTGTGTTCGTCTATAACCCAGATGTTTTAAACTACTCTGTGACTAGCCTGAGATCTTAGTTTAGGTGCCTCAGAGGTGGCCTGCCCTAGGAGGAAACCTTGGCTGGGATGGGTCAGGACAAAGGACTCGGGAGGCAGTTTTGATACCCTCAGGCCATAGCAACAGTGGGGTGGAGGCTGGTTCTGGGGAATGAGAAGCTAGAATTCACTCTCACCACCACCTAGGTGTCCATCTCCACCAAGGCGTGATGAGTAGGAGGAGAGTGGGGTGAGTGCCTGCAGGCTGTGGTTTCATACATGGCATAGGGGCCATAAATACTCCTCTCCCACCTTTGATGTCACCTACCATTTGAGTGTGGCTTCTGAGATGTAGGGGCACAACGCTGTGTGGCCAACTGCAAAAAAACCAAATAGTGCTCGTTGAAGGTACAGGTGGCATGAGAAGAAACCTGCAAAGCTGCATGTGGCATAGTTGTGATTGGAGGACATGGCTGAGGCCTCACTCTGGGTGGGCTGTGGGTGATGGAAGGTAGTGAGGCCTTAACCAAGTTTGGCTAGTGGGAGATGTGCCCAACTGTTGTTGGCTTTGCAGAAACAATAAATATTTGGGGATGGGAAAAGAACAAGTTTGGGGAGAACAATTCATTTGTAATGCAATTTAGGTTAAAATATAATATAATATAATATAATATAATATAATATAATATAATATAATATAATATAATATATATATTTTTAAGTTATGCATGCTGGAAGCAAAAGCTTTTTGTTTTTTTAAAATTTTTTTGTTGTTGTTGGGGAACAGTGTGTTTTTCCATAACCCATCAGCTCTAAGTCAAGTAGTTGTTTCAATCTAGTTGCAGAGGGCGCAGCTCAGTGGCACATGTGGGGATCGAACCTGCAACCTTGGCGTTATGAGCACTGCGCTCTAACCAACTGAGCCAACCAGTCTCCCCAAAAGTTTGTTTTTTGGCAAGATCAACAAAGTGGACAAACCTCTATCTACACTAAGAAAAAATAAAAAACATAACTAAAATCAGATAAAAGTGGGGACGTCACTACTGACTTTACAAAAATAAAAAAGATAAAAGAATACTATAAACAATGTCCACCAACAAATTAAATAACACAGATGAAATGGACAAATTCCTAGAAACACACAAATTACCAAAAACTGACTCCAAAAGAAATAGAAAATCTGAAAAAAAATCTGTAAAAAACAGAGATTGAATTAGAAATCAAAAACTTCCCAACAGAAAAATGCCCAGATGGCTTCACTGGTAAATTCTACCAAATGTTTAAAGAAAAATTAACATCAGTCCTCCTCAAGCTCTTCTTAAAAATAGAAGAGCAGGGAACACATTCTAACTCATTCTATGAAGCCAGCATTACCGTGATAACAAAGCCAGACAAAGACATCATAAGGAAACTGCAAACCGATATTTCATATGAATATAGATGCAAAATTCTCAACAAAGTGCTAGCAAACTGAATCCAAAAGCACATTAAAAGGATTATTCACTATGGCCAAGTGGGATTTAGCTAAAGAATGCAAGAGTGGTTCAATATAAGAAAATCAACCTATGTAATACACAATATTAACATAATAAAGGAAAAATATGATCATTTCAATTGACTCAGAAAAAGCACTTGACAAAATCCAACACCTTTCATAATAAAAACACTCAAAAAGT